GACATGGTAGTTAGGAAGTGTATGGATATCGGATAATCGTATGCAGTTGGGTTTTTATACTCATGGCATTATTTACCAGATGTTCACGAGAGACAAGCGCTGCAGTGGGTCTACATGTGTCAGGTGCTCATCAGGATGAGCAGCGGCAAAAACACTGGAAACTTGAGTCAAGGAAAACTTTGAGGCACTCTTGAAATTTAAATAAATTCATCAGATATTTCAATTTCCCTGCCCTGTCCGATTTGTATTTTTAATAATCAAAAATAGAAAATTAGGATTAAAGATATGCCTGTAACTTTACATAATCACAGAAAAAAATCACAGGAAAACAAGTCTGCTAACTTTATTATGACTTGATATTTGATTATTGCTATGACATCAATAGTCAATGATTGGCCACAACAAACAGATACAAAATACAGACATTAAATCAAAAAAATTCATACGCCCCATCTCTAAGTGGTCGTAGATGTAATCGGGCTATTTTACCCCATTCGGTATGTTTACTTTTTATTGACTGCAATAACGATATGGTCCTGGCCCAATTTAGCCGGGTAATTTTTCCCTCTTTTGAGTTTGATTGGTGGGTCATTCACAGACAAACATGAAAGTCCCTAGCTGATAACACTCCGGTCCTTTATATAAACAGCATGCTTTCTGCTGACTCCTCCTGGGCCAATAAAAGGGTTGCCGTTGCACTATCAGGAGGTCACTCTGTTTCATATCGGCTTCACCCCGGTCACATGTACCGTGCCCATCTGCACTTCAGTCAGATAATTCAGTCATCTTTGAGCCCTGGAATGTAATGCCTACTGTATCTATGGTGTGTTTTTAGCTGCGTCTACATATCTTAACACATGGGGTCAAACTTTTGAGTAAAAGAGGGCTACTTTAGTTCATCAGACTTGTCCAGGGGCTAAAAACTAACTTGGCCTCAATGGCTAGTTTGGCTATGGCTATTTGTTTTGAATCTCATTTGGAATCCAATTGTCAACTTTGTCCATTTTCTTTTCTTTTGGACCACTAAATTCTGGCACAAATGTGTATCATTCAATATTAAGCTTTCTATTTACGTCGGAAACCAGCATGTGACATACATTACAAGTTATGTCTGTGGAGAGGCAGTCTTTTCTCTGAAAGAATTCAGTGTTAACTACCAAAATCATCCAAATTTGAACAATGCACACATTTTAAACCATTTTGAGCGACGTTCCAAGCAAAGCGATAACAGATGGCATTAGCCGGTATACTATATTTATTTCCCATTCTGAAGGATTATCTGCCAAAGTAAACATTCACAAAGCGACAAAATGAACTGAGATAATTCATAATGTTTGCTTTTAAAATGCTGAGAAAGGAGCGAGTGGTGCGTGAAAGTCCTGAACTAAGCTCGACAGGCTATTCTTGTTCAATCATCATTTGATCTGCCTGAACGACCAAAGAGGATTTGTGAATGATTACGATGTACTCAAACATTTGTTGTAGCTGACTCATAAGTGCTATTTTTACCCAATGCCCTACTCAAGTAAATGTTAATCTCTTTTTTTGGCCCCAATTTTGAATACTTCTATATACGACAGCTTTTTCCCGCTTAAGAAAAAATACTTTTAGAGAATATATGATCAAGAAACATTTTATCACAACTTTGGTGACACGTGACTACTTTCCAACTTGAATGGAATGATGTTCCAAGTTTTCGAGTTTTACATGTTTTAACGCATTTTCATTTTCTTTACAGGGTTTGGGTTAAATCTGTGTTGTTCAAAATGATTAATAAATTTGGTATAATAGATTACATCTACTTCAATAATCGATTAGTTGCAACTGATCAATTAACTAGTTACATCCCTAGTTAAGAATAAAGTATGATTAAGAAAATACATACTATATATATAATAATTAAAATATTTCAATTCAACAACTACACTTGTTGGCACACGCTATTGTTATTACAGTTACTAAACCTAAACCTGCTGCCAGTATAGATGTTGGTTCATTGGGGATTCTCCTTCAGCATTCATTGTTTGAGGCTAAGCAGAAGTCAGACTGGTTTCTCTGGACGTTTACATAGAGCTATTACTGAAATACCAAGAAAACAGGAAAACTGAGATTTGCTCAGATTTACTTTTCTGCCCACGAGCTACAAAACTAGAGCCTCTTAAATGTCTCCCTCAAAAGCACTACCATTATTTAGAATGAACTCAAACTAGTCCATTGTCCACTTACTGTAAGCATGTTATCAGGATCTCACCTCACTGGATAGCATTTAGAACTCCATTAATGTAAGGGGAACGTCAATTATTGTTATTGTAGGTCCCAATAAAAGACTTTTAAAGGTTATTTAGTCTTAACCTGCTTAATTCTTTCACAAGTTGCTTCAAATATTTTGTATTGGTTGGTATATATATCTTGTATTTATTTATTCACTTTTGAGCCGATATTAATTCATTAAGTCATCATATTTACAATTATATACAATAATATTTTACAATTGTCTCTGCTAAAAATAGAATGGAAAGAAAAAAATATACACTCTCTAGTACCCATGTACATAATTTACTTTTTTTTCTCCCTTTATATTCACTTAATCATCAACAAACAGCTTGGGTAAGTTCCAAGACAGTTTGGGCACCCCTAAACTTCTTCACTTTTGTATTTTAGTAATTTTAATGTAGATAAACAATAAATAAGAATAAAATACTTATTAAACAAACCAATTTTGTTATAATAAAATTCTCAAGTCACTTCATTTTAGCTATGTTTAAAAAAAAAAAAAAAATCATTAAATCCAATATTTACAGGATTTTTGTGAGTGTTTTGTCATCAAGTTGATTCATTGATTAATTTTTGACGATTAATCTGTAATCAAAATAATCCATATATATATATTCTTGTTCATTGTGTCAAAAGTGTGTGTGTCTTTAGGTATCATAATCGCTATATATAAGTTTTATTCACATTATTATTATTAGTCATTCAGTTAATTTATGCTTACTTTATCTGTCGCCTGTTGTGTGTGGTCGTTTTCTCTTCTTAAACATAAATGTGCCATGACTATTTATGTTTGTTTTACTTTTTTGTGTGTATGACCAGGGCTATACAAATACACCCCTCTTGCCTGTAAAGGGGATTAATCGTTCTTTACCCATTTTAAAACTCACAGCAGCTGCACTAACTAGTTTCTATCAATCAAAGACGTGTCACGAAATCCTCGCTGTTAAATCTACATAACTAACATAACTATTCTCCCACTCATTGGCGCCGCATTTCTGCCAGTGTCACATACAGTAAAAGCAGCAGAGAGGGGGGTAGGAGGAAGAGGAGGGGGGGTGAGGTGAAAGGATGATGTCACCTCTCTGCCAGTGGGCGGGGCTGGTCGTAAAGGAGGCGTGGCTTCTGACTGCCACTCTCCTTTAGTTTGAGGAGCTCTTCAACTCTCTCACTCACAGCAGAGACAAGACACCGGCTTATGAGACCTTTTCAAAGGCTTTGTTTATTTTCTTTTTACAATAGTGTTTAAGAATTACAGATGACAAATAACACCTTTGGATTACTTTGTGCTGGAAACAATGCACTGGGAACAGCTTCTTCGCTTAACTAACAACAAGGTTTGAGAGATTTCAAGAATTTTTGTTTGATTACTAAATGTTTGCGTAATAGTCTGGTACATCTGCAGCATTTGTGTTTGGTGTGTGAAGGCTTCTGTTGTTGCTTGTCTGTGAGGGATTAGTCATGTGTTGCGCATTCAGCAGGTGGACCAGGTGAGCTCGGTTTGGTCCTTGTAAGGTGTGGCTGGAGTTGTTTGAGTGAAATAAATATGGATAACACATTTACTCGGCGTTATGCCTTGAGAGCCTTTTAAAAGGCGTTATTACATTTAATTGCTGCTACCACTTTGACACTTAGACAATTATAAGTTCATGTATCCTTTAGTACTTACTTACTACTTACTTACTTACTTTAGTAGTGTTTTCTGTCTTGAGTGGTTGAGCGAACTGTATTAATGTATGGAGAGAATCAAAAACACATTAAGATAAGCTGTTTATTTTAGTCTGATAAGAAACATAACATTGATCTCAGAGTAAATGACTCATTCTCTGTGTAAGGTGAAATAAACAGTATGATATAGTGTACTAGTTCTTTACACAGATATATATCATGTAAACAATGTATACAAGTCCAACACTCTTTCACGTCGTATTTATCAGCTTCTTAAAACAATCTTGTCCTAAGTTTCCTTTTTCTAAATGACCAGAAGTGACCTAACGTCTGGGTTTACCCCTGTTTGCAGTATTATTTTTTATGTTGTCAGCAAAAATACTTGCATGTGCATTTCTGTTCCCTTTTTTAATTTTTTCCCTGTTTTGCCACCTTTGCCCTGATTCCTCTAACCGCTGGTTCTCAAATTTAGCAGATAACCACATAACCATATATTGGTTTGTAGAACAGTAGTGGTAGCCTTTATTCGCTCTCAAGTGAAAGTGGAAATATCTCAATTTTTGTTTTAATGACAATACTACAGCTAGTACTAAAACTATGTTAGTTGATTAGTTGTAACTACAGGATTATTAAACATGTCATGTATACTGCTTGACCTACACGCATCAAAAGCCAGGTCAATTACACTGCCTTACTGCTTCATCTTTGTAATAGACAACATTCCTTTTTTTTTGGGTCCATCTAAATTATGTAGTTTTTCCTGGAATGTTCCACAGTGTGATATTAATTAACGATTCCATCTACATTGGAGACGAGCGAGTGACATTGTCCATCTGTAATTTAACTATGCAGGAGTTTAATATCACACTGGGAATATTCCAAGCAAAGAAACAACATCGCTTTTGCAACAAGTTGGTAGCTCATCAGGAAAATTGCCTAATTCTCCTTGAATATGTACAAAAATCTTTACATAGAAAATTCTTGCAATTTAAATACAAATCTGTGAAATTTTAAATCTTGGTGAGCCATTCTAACTCCTCTTCTTGCTCATGTGCTTTCAGATCGACCGGCTGGAGGTGAGTGCTCTCTCCCAAAATCCACTTGCTGTGTCCTGTGGGGCGGATGCTTCATACCCCGGGGCAGAAGACAGCACCCCAGACCCCCAGAGGACCAAGCAGGCCATCGCCCAGCTGCAGCAGAAGATCCTCAAACTCACCGAGCAGATCAAAATCGAACAAACGGCTCGAGATGACAATGTTGCCGAGTACCTCAAGCTGGCCAACAATGCAGACAAGCAGCAGAGCTCTCGTATTAAGCAGGTATCATTTTTTTATGTTTTTATTTTAGATAATTTTGTATATTTTACATTATCTACTGATATTGTTGTAGCTCCACTCCTACACCAATTTTGATACCATAGTGATGGCTGAAAATTTCCTGTTATGAAATATATGCCATTTTTATCCCACTGTACAGTTTTACATCTGTTCCTAAATGTCCCATGGTCATTTTACATGCAGTAGCAGCATTTTGTTTTGATTCTATTTATACTATTGATTCTTATCTGATTTCTAAAACATTTAACAATGCTACACCTCATGAATTACGATTAATTTCCCAATGCTTGTACAACGCTGCCCTAATCATTCGTGAATTATTAAGAAGTGTGTTAAGATAAAATTAACGAAGCAAAGAACAGACACGGTTAATAATACAGATAGGCATTTTGAATACTAGTGAATACAAATAAATAACACAGGCATAAATGGAACAGATTGTGTGAAGGAGCGAAGATAAGGAAAATTTTCTTGTTTTTAATTATAAAATGGTGCTTTCTCACACACACACAAAAAAAACATTCCGATGCTCTCCGTGGCTTCAGGTGTACCTTTGTCCAATTGAGATAAAATATCAAATTTTACCTCTAAACAATCTGTTAATTAATCAAAAAAACCTAAAAGAATCTAATTGTCAGCTACAGCCAGAGTAAGAAGGAACCTGCAATCAATCCAACCTATGTTTGTGCACTGAAAAGTTACTGAAAACTATGAAAACACTTTAGGAGGATGAGTACTAAGCAAGATCAGTAATAGAAAGAGAAAAAAAAGAGAAATGGAAATTATATAGAGGGGCTAATATTTACAATTATTCAATGATATAACAAAGTTTGATATGGACAAAATAAATAGTAGATGAAATAAATCTGATCTGGGAAATGTGAAATGAGAGTTGGATCTTGCTTGAATATAAAAGTAAATACCAAACGGTTCAGTCATTTCAACCATAAATTCTCATTATTTTTTTAATTTAGATCAAATTAGCACTTTTTTATATTAATTAAAATACTAAAACAAAATGAATTAATTTAATCTAATCTTGTTAATAATTCCAATAAAATATAAACAAAATATACAGCTAATACAACATTTTGTCACTTGAAACCCACTGATTGATTGATTACGCGACTAAACGACTAAATATTGACAGAAATACCGATTATTTACACGCTTCATGGATTTTCTGTGTTTTTCTTCCTCCCGTAAGGTTTTTGAAAAGAAGAACCAGAAGTCGGCGCAGACCATCCAGCAGCTGCAGCGCAAACTGGAACACTACCACCGCAAACTGCGCGAGGTGGAGCACAATGGCATCCCCCGCCAGCCCAAAGACGTGCTGCGGGACATGCACCCGTGGCTGAAGGACGTGGGGGCAAAAGTCACCGGTTTTAGTGAAGGAGTGGTGGACAGTGTGAAGGGGGGACTGTCCAGCATCTCCCAGGCCACGCACTCAGCCGCTGGCGCCGTTGCATCCAAGCCACGGGAGATCGCCTCAATCATACGCAACAAATTCGGAAGCGCGGACAACATCGCGGCGCTGAAAGACTCGCTCGATGACTCAACCGTGGACGAAGCCGTGGCGGTAGCAGCAGGCGGGAGACCTTTCGGGAACCACTTTCAGTCCAGTCCCAAGTTTGGAAGCGAAGAAGATTGCTCCAGCGCCACGTCCGGGTCGGCGGGGGCAAACAGCACGACCGGGGCGCCAGGCGGACCCCCCAGTTCCAGAGGCAACACCCTGGAGCGCAGCCAGAGCTTGGGGTTGGACATGCTGCTACAGGAGGTGCAGGAGATGAGGGAGAGCCAGGCCAGGTTGGAAGAGAATCTGGATAGTCTAAAGTCGCATTATCAGAGGGAGTATACGGTCATCATGCAGGCCCTGCAAGAGGAGCGATTTAGGTAAGGGGGAAATTACACACTTTACTACAAATTCATGGTTTATGACTAGGATTGGGACAGTACCATGTGCCACGAGATCTTACAAGATTCAATTGTGAGTAAAATAGGATCTTGTGAGGTTCCCTTCCCTGTGTTTAGATTTGTTTAGGACAAAAAACATGTGAAAATGAATGGGTTGAGTTGCACATTTTGAGAATTGGTGGTCCCCCAAAGATGTACCTCACTAATTGTGAGGTTGAAATTGTGATTCAATTCATTTGTCCAATGTCTAAATTCTGCTCCAATATAATGTACCCAATCGCCACCCCCCACGCCCCCACCCCTCTATATAAGAGGATATGAACAAGCATTTTTTTCTGAATAAAATCATATACAGGTGAAGTCTGGAAAAATCAGAATATTGTTCAAAAGTCTATTTACTTCTGTAATTCAACCACAATGTGAAACTAATATGACAGACTCATGGGCTGCAAAGTGAGATAAATCCTGTCTTTATTTGTTATAATGTTGATAATTAGCTCAGAGCTTGTAAAAATGAGAATACTTGTAAGCCAATAATCATCCAACAAAATGATTACAAAGAATTGGCATTTTTCACTTGTGTGTAATGAGATATATAATGCATTGGTTTCACATAATAAGTTGTATCACAGAAAAAAAAAGCTTTTAAGCAATATTCTAATTGTATGAGTTTTACCAGTGTTTCCCAACCTGTGGTATGATGACCCTACTCATTGGAATTTACGGTACCATCATTCTATTGACAGTCATTTGCACAATGTTTAAATATTTGCTCACTGTCTTTACTGAGAACATGAGTAAGATGCCGCACTGATGAGCCGGTTCGGTTGGTGCCGTAAAATCCCCTGAAAATCCAATACTTTTTCTTCCCACTGTTAACTCAACGTTATGTAATGATATTATGAGATGAGATAAATCCAGAGTTTTTATCATTGGAGTGACCTGCTGATAAAACACCAACCCTTGAACCTAATTCTAAATAATGACGTATTTATTTCAGAGATAAGTTATTTTTGCACCCATTTTTTTATGAAGCTGTTCCACTTTCCGCCTAAACAAACACCCACATCTCACAAGGATCCCTGTGTTATTTCACCGCACTTCATTTTTATGACAAGACGAAGAAGTGTGTATTGTTGTGACTCTGTGGGGGCAGCTGTCTTAAAAAAACACACACATAGAATGTTCAGTTAAATATCAAGACGTCTCGTGTTATGGTCAAAACAACGTCACGGCTGATAACAAGTGTGGGGAGTGCATTTTTTTCCCTAAAATGTCCACCGTCTTCACTTGCACTGTTTGTTCTGTGAGGAAATGGGGACAGAGTGACCGAATTCTGGCAGCAGGCCAGTAAAAACAAATCATGCTTGTAGAATACACTTCAAATACTGTTATTATTTTATATCTTATTGAAAAGTTTCAGGTATTTGTGAGTTATGAGAACACAAACACACACATACACTGTATACATCTGTACAAAACCAAACATAACTCAAAGTATCATTGATCCAAAGTTTTACCTCTTTCAGGACAGTTCTAGGTAGGAGACAGATTTTTGTTTTCTGATCCACCCACGCTAAAAACAGGAACTAATGGCACTTGTAACACCTCCTTATGTCTAAAAGCTCCTGTCTCAGTCCTGTAATAGTATGATGTCACACAGTTTTTTGCCTTATAAAGCAAAAGTTTCGACCATAAATTAATTTAGGAAATTTCTCAAGAACTTAATTGAACTGGACATTGAGCTCTTTACAATCACATGTACTTCTTTTATATCCTGTCTGAATGATCTGTCCACAGGTGAAACTTACAATGTGAAACCAAAATATGACTCAATACACGCCATGTCTTTGTTTGTAAATATCTGGATGATTATGGGTTTTATGGTATTGGGAGTTTTTACAAGTTGTGAGTCATAATTATCAACGATATAACAAATAAAGGCTTGATTTATCCCATTATGCCTGTATATAGTACACTTGTCATATATTAGTTTCATATGCAGTTTCACCTGTATAAGGTTGTACATATTTTATCTATATTTTGTCTTTTCTATCTTACTATTATATTATTGTTCCTGATTCCTTTTGATACAGTAGTACACTGTTGGTTTGGTTTATTATCATTTTCGTCTTGCTCCTTTCTGATTGGCCAGTGTCCTCTGCTGCCTATTAGGGATTGGTCTACTGGATCACCAGATGACTAAATCTAATGACTTGTCCAGTCAGATGCCAATGTGGCCAAATGCCTTTAGGAAGATCTGTCCTGGTTTAAATCCTGTGTGTGTGTTTGTGAAAGTAAGCCAATTATAGCCGGGTCTCACGTGTGTTTGTGTGCTGTGTTCAGGTGTGAAAGGCTGGAGGAGCAACTAAATGACCTCACCGAACTTCATCAGAATGAGATCCTCAACCTCAAACAGGAGCTGGCCAGTATGGAGGAAAAGATTGCCTACCAGTCCTACGAGAGAGCCAGAGACATACAGGTTTGTACTGAAGCCAGAAAGTAACACCAAATATAATAATTATGTGAATGGTTAAAAACAAAAATAGCCCAATGGAACTCTGTGTAATATTGACTGATATTCCAAAGATTTTCAGACATTTACTCACTCCTTAAATTGCTGGCTTAAGTCTATTGCCTAAGTTTTAGACAGTAAAGCCACACAGGATAATAACATTTAGTCTGGATTTAGAGAGTACTTAAAGAACGGCGTGCAATCCATCTGAAGCCTCAGAGTTTAAGGTTATCTGGTGACGGCTGAAGTACAAAGATTACCTCATTGTCTGTGTGTAAATGCCAAACAATGTGGTGTCCAAAAGTCCTGTCTGTCCAGCCTTGAGTTTGTTCAAAATAAGGGCATTTCCTTTTAAACGTGTTCACTCAGGAGATTAGGGATAAGATTTCTATTACTGCTCTTTTCCAGCAGGGGGAGGTAAAGCCTCATGAAAGTCACTGGAGTGCATGAGTCGCGTTTTCCTGGGGAAGGTGACCTTGCTCATTAACGTGTGTGTTACAGGAGGCACTGGAGGCGTGTCAAACCAGGATCTCTAAAATGGAGCTTCAGCAGCAGCAGCAGCAGGTGGTGCAGCTGGAGGGGCTGGAGAACGCCACGGCCCGGACCCTCTTGGGGAAGCTCATCAATGTGCTGCTGGCCCTGATGGCCGTTCTCCTGGTCTTTGTCTCCACTGTGGCCAACTGCGTGGTGCCCCTGATGAGAACGCGCTCCCGCTCCATGTCCACACTGCTGCTCATCGTGGTGCTGGCCTTTCTCTGGAGGAACTGGGAGGCTCTGTCTGGATACACCCACCGCGCCCTGCAGCCCCCGGGGTGAAGCGTAACGACCAGCACCGGTGACTCCTGGTGCTTTGGTGACAACAGATGAAGCGAGGGTCCGTGCAGCCGCACAGACCTCTTGTAAATGATGAACTGTGACAGAGACTGTGACAGAGACGGAGGCTGAAAACTCGTCCAGACGCAGAGACTGTTGAATCATGATCAGATAAAGAGACAGTGAAGATTTTCAGATCGATGGAAATAAACTGTTTACATTTTTAGAGATGAACTCGTCGTCCTTTCAGGATGAAACACTGGACAGTTTATATGTAGATTTTAATAATTTCATAACTTCTAATCTGAATATTTCTTATTTATCCAGTACCATGTAGCATTATGGCTCTTTTCCCTTCAGGAGTTTAGACCAGGCACTGGGATGGCCACGGCATAAACATATTGGATTGTGATGTTTTATCATAGCAAATCTAATCAGCTAACTTCAGCGAGATCACAGATGTTCTAGAATAGAGACATTAATGAAGAAGTCATTTTTCAGGGTGAACTTTTGCAACATGTCTAACATGTCGCTTTCTTTGGGTATCAAAGTTTGCTTATAAAGCAGTATTAGCCAGCCACAGTAAGGTTCATTTGCTGGGATCTTTCGCTGAGCCGTAGCTGTTTTGGTGCTTCATTGTCAACACTGGGAAAGGCTTTATACGTCTCAGTCAGGAATCTTCACTCAGCAGAAACTTGTTTTATTTTGTTTGTGTCTCATTCAGTGCCAAACCTTGGTCTACCCCAGGGCTATCAGTACACATCTGAAAGAAGCAAAGACTGCAAAGAATATTTAGCATTGAATGTCTATTAAATGTTCGCATTAATTTATCTTTTCAGAGACGTTTGAATGAAAGTGTAGTATGATAGTGACTTCTTTTATCCCTGCCCATTCATAATTCCTCTATACTTTCAGTATTTGTTACCAATCATATTGGTGAAGGGCAGCGATTTGCACTGAGGAGCAGAAGATAAAGTGAGATCATTCAGAGTACGTTAGCGCTGCACTTTAGCACACATCTGATAAGGCGTGTCAGGCGGAGACAGGGCAGCAGGACTGTGATCCAGACTTCAAAGGTCCTAAGACAGTAGTCCTCCTGGGATAAGAGAGGCAGCCTCAGGTCACAAGCACTGTCAGCTCTGCCTCAAGTTAAAATCCAGAGACAATTACCACACACTTGAAAATGAGACATCAATACACAACCTCACTTTAAAAAATAATAATGACATTATTGACATTCTGTATTAATGGCTGCATTAGTGACATGTTATAATGATGGCATTAGTGAATGAGCGAAAGAAACAATGAGCTCAAAGCCAGGATCTGGTGAGTTTGCAGCATACTTTTATTAGCTGACCAAAAGTAATTTATAAAATGTATGCATTGTTTTAAATGACAGAGGAATTAAATGAGATGATTGATTCAAAAATAACATTAATTTATGATCTCTTTCTATGCTTGATTGTATGAGAAAAAAAAGTCAGAGTGAGCTTGATCTAACAGGTGCTGGTGATGATAATGTGACTGTGCTCCCACGCCAGTGCCTTCAATTTCATTTTGTAATTGTGGATTAACTGAATAAAGTGCATTCCTGACTAACACAAGAGCGGGTGTTATGTTCTATTGTGCCTGTGTCATGGACCTACACATAGAATCATTTTTCCTACAGCCACTAGATGGCGCTTTTTGGCTTTCTTTGCTCTGGTAGCGATGCCATGTGGAGCGTGTGTAGAGAAGGCGGTGGTCTGAGTGCAGGAGGTGTCGCTCCTTATCAGGAAGGAAACAGGTCTGTGCGTGCCCCGTACCCACTGGCTCCGGAGTCCGCTCCATCAGAGACAGGTTCATTGTCCACAGAGTTCAGTCTGTGGTGGACACAGCAGCTCCTCTGATGTGACGCTGACAGCTCTGACCCGCGCCTTCACGCACGCGCTCCACAGCTGCTAATAGGACACTGTGGCGTGTACGCGCACAGCTGAGGGCGCCCACTGCCTCAGTGTCAGTGTGTGATGGAGTTTTGGGTCATTATTTTACAACAAGCACTTTCCACTTGCTGTGCGTGACAGTGCGCAGGTGGGACGCACTTCTCTGGCCACAGAAAGAGGAGAATGAGAAGCAGACCCTGGCTCCCACAGCAGACGGTCAATAGGCAGTGTGATTTCACAACTTTAATTACTGTGAGTAGAGATAACCTGCATGATGTATGCAGACACACTCCTCTGAAGCCTCAGGAGTGGGAGACTGGGAGACATGGCACTGGAGGCTGGTCCAATAAGGAATGCAGGATGAAGAAATATTGCTGATCCATGTCACACTTCCATAGCGTGGCCTCCAACTGTTGTCCCACACTATAACATGTCCAGGACGCACACAGATCTGTGATGAATGAAGCACCAGTGTTGAGCTTAAATATTTATGAGCTGATCTTTGTTGGACAGACGAGAATGTCATGGAGCCGGAAAGGTGCGCATGTGTCCATCTGGCAGCACTTTCACGCTGCTTACTGCCCTGTGACTGAGCCCAGGACAGAACCCTCTGGATCTGCAGAACGAATCTGAGAGTGGAGATGTGGAGGAGCGGAGGCGGGACGGTGACCCCCCCATTAACCCCCCAGATGAGCGGAACGAGGCGTGGGTCAAGTGAACAGCTTGAAAGAAAAAGTAGATAGATATTGCAACTTCAGAGGCAAGTCCATCTCATAAATAAATCTGGAAAATGTTTCAACTTCGTACACTACTCCATACACTAGGAGAATGAATCCTATAACTCGTGTAGCATCATAATTGCCCTATCCTCCTGTCATAAAATCACGGAGGGTTTTTGGTATACAATACAAATATACAAATACTGGCAGAAAAAGACATGCTAATTGAAATAGACCAAGAAGCTAAATAAAGGAGGTAGTTGGACTTTTGCCATGAGTTCAAACTGTTCCTATAAGTATATTTAGGTCTTTATTGTTTTCGCTCGCGTATGAAAAGCTCTCGGTGTGAGTGGTGATAAAAGATGAGTGATGTGTCCCGGAGCGCACAGGAGTGTGGCTGTGGAGCAGCGGCGCACAGTGGGCTGAGGGACAGAGGAGGCAGGATGAAAAGAGGAAGCACGACTCGCTTATCGCGTCATTCTAGTCTAGGCGTTGAGCAGGAAACAGCCTTTCCTCCCGGATTGTCGCACTAGAAACAAACACTATTTTGTCTTTGCTCAATGCACACCACGGCTCAGAAGACGCGGAAGCCGGTCAGAAGGAAGAATGCCTCCTTCGATAGAGATAGCTGTCCTTCTGCTCCAGGTCCTGGTTTTGGAGACGCGCCGCGGAGCCAGCGCGCTCTACATCCAACAGGCTTTTGCGTCTCCCAACCTCACCAATAACTTTGTGGTAGACCCGGTGTCCGGGAGAGTCTACTTGGCCACGGTCAACACAGTGTACCAGCTGAACGGGACGCTCAGTCTGGAGGTGGAGAAGAGGACGGGGCCGGTGGAGGACAACCTGTTGTGCCATGCGCCACAGCTGCCCCAAGCTCCGTGCGAGCATCCCAAAGCCATCACGGACAACTACAACAAGCTGCTGGAGCTGGACCGGGACCAGGGGGTCGTGGTCATGTGTGGCTCAGTGTACCAGGGCTTTTGTGAGCTCAGGAAAATGGACAATATCTCGGAGATAGCGGTAGAGTTCCCTCCGCACGGGGAGAAGACTGTGTTCCCCAGCATGCTGAACATTGCTGCCAATCACCCCAACGCGTCCACGGTGGGACTGGTCTTCAGGAGCCACGGGGGCAACACCCGTCTCCTTGTAGGAGCTACTTACACAGGGGCTGGCACCCAGTATTTCCCCAAGAACCACAGCAAGGAGGACCTGCGCTTTGAGAACACTCCTGAGATAGCCATTCGCTCCTTAAATATCAAAGACTTATCCAGACTTTTCACTTATGACATTAACCCTTCGGAGGATAATGTCTTCAAGATCAAGCAGGAGGTCAAGACGAAGAACAAGCTGAACTTTGTGCACGCGTTCATTCAGAAGTCATACTCGTACATCGCCTTTAATAATGACGCCAAAATGGGCCACAAGGAGAGCCAGCCCAACAGCATTCTGGCCCGCATCTGCCTGGACACGGACAACCCAAAGAAGCTCAGCGGACCCGAGAGCAGGAAGCTCACCGAGTCCTACATCCAGATGCCGCTGCTGTGCGGCTCCAGCGGGAACATCTACAACCGCCTGGTGTCGGTGTATCCTGTGGACATCCCGGCGGGGGATGCCTCCAGCCCGGAGCCGTACCTGTTCGGAGTGTTCTCGAAGGCGGACCGTAAGTCCGCTCTGTGCGCCTTCAAGTTCAGCGACATCGAGGAGGAGATCCGCCAGGCCCGGAGGAACTGCTCCAACTCCCCCAGCAGCGACGTGCAGGTCCTGGACAGTGTCATCCAGGGCTCTGGGGCCGCCTGTCTTCAGAAGGGCAAAATCGTGGTAAGTAAGGACTACTTTAGCACAGTGGAACTATGGGAAAGCTGCACGTGCTGATGTGTGAGCTAGCTTTAGCACTGGGCACAGTTTCAGCTCAAAACACTTCATAACATCACATGATCAATAATGTTGCTTCAGATATTTATTTTACTGATAAAATACTGCTGTTTCAGGAGAACCAGCATGTGTAAGTATCTTCTTATAGTTGGGACACACTTTATTTATTCACAAGGGAAATTACTGGGACACAGCAGCTCATAACATCCTCACAAAGTAGACAGAGTGTGCAGAATAATACAATTGCAAAGAGAATGAAAGTGTCTAAAAGAAGGGTCTGTACAGAGTTGTATATGTTTTTGAAAAGTGCTTTACAGATGTATTTTTTATCATTATTCATATTATTATTATTTATACAATAAATACAACTAGAGTAAATTCAGTATGCTCACAGCTGTGATATGGGAGAGTGTGGTGTGGCCCTGGTGACACAGCAGCAACATGTTTCTGAATCTCATTGGATAGTTTTCCTGTTAGTTGCTCAGTCAGATTGGTCTCTGAAGTTAGAATGTGTCAGGGGGGCAGGTCATGATGAGAGTGGCCAGATCCACTCAAGGGGTTATGGGAAGGGTGAAACAACTACAAGAGAGACTGGAGAGATTACATACAAATCATAAGATGGGTCAGGGTCAATAGTTTAGCTATGTTGCAAGGATTCAGAATGTTTTTTTAAACTGCAGCGTGTGCAAGTAATTATAGTATCAGCATCAGATTGATCTAAATATTGAATAAACAGGCTCTTTGTCAGAATATATACTTTTGTAAGTAGCTGCCACAGTGCAAACCTCGCTCCCTGTGGACCAATGGCTATTATATGTTTGTTATTATTGCATTTCTGTGTCCGATCTGATCTGTCGTTGGCAAATCCACAACTTTTTAAAGTCCTCTGTTGTTTTGATTTAGGGCTGTACAAAAATACATTGAATTGAATTGAATTGAATTGAATGCTACACTTCTTACGCATTCCAAGTGACATATTTGGCTTCGTTGGCCACATCGGGCCCCTCTTTGAGACAGTATTGACGGAAGTTTAAAGCATTTCAAACTGTCCACTGTTCTGAGGAATGCTCTGAAATCTATCTTCTCATTGTGGTGGCTTTGAGTGACAGCGGTGAGGTCAAAGGAGACTGTCCAACAAACCAATGTGATGTCAGGTCAAAGATCCAGCCACCAAAGCAGCTCCTCTCACTGGTATTTTCCGTTCCTCAATGCCGCATTCACTCCAAAGTCGTCTGTATCTAAGTAAAGTTCAGGGCATTATTGTTTTCATGGCACTAGAATCAATGTCTTTTGTTGCTCTGTGAAGGCCAGTGTGCGGTGAAAAAGTCAGACACAATTTGATAAGAGAGACCCTCAACCCGTGGGAAAGCAGTCTGCAAATATCCGTACTGGCTAAATCTCCCCGCCGCTGTGTGTGCCTTCAAATCTTCAGAGAATTCCCACCAGATCCCGGTGCGCATCCGAGCATGGCATTAATGTGTTATCATTGCCCGTGGAGGATTTGACAAAAGCGCGGTCTTATGAGTGTTGAAGACCCCTGTAAGCCCCTTTCAAGTATGCACAGAGATGTCAAGGCAGCAAGTTTCAGTGGAATTAGCAGCATGGTTGTGATTACCACTATCGGCTTTTGTTTTATCAATCCACTTTTGTCTCAGGGCTCGGTCTGATCCTCTCATCTGCGTGTGCTATGTATGACAGCGCTTTAATTGCGTGAGTGCTACGTACTAAGGCTGCAAGTTTGTAATTAAACAAAGCAAATACAATATTCATGCTCCGTTTGTTGAAATACCAGAACCGTATCATTTTAACTTACGGCTATCATTTCAATATCGACCTTGGGCAATCTACTTATAGCTATCATTTTGCTATCGACCTTGGGAAAGTAAACTCACTTATCAAAATGTTGACTAAAAAGGGATTGTGGAAAATACATTGAAATCTCACTGTTTATTCTCTCAATTTCACAATAAGACTGAAACTGCCATTGATTTAAACCTTTTGTTCAGACCTCATCAAATCGGATTTGTGCAATACAATTCATCTGCATGTGAAAGCCAGATCCAGTCAGGCCTCTGAAGCTAAGCACGGCACGGTCTGGTTAATACTGTGATGGGTGACCTTTGGCAACACCAGGTGCCACAGTGGGGCTGTCGTTGTGTGCTTAGGCAAGACACGTCACCCACACTGCCTAGAATGAGTCGGTGTGAATGGTTGGTGGTGGTTAGAGGGGCCAGATGTTGTGTGTGCGGACTGGGTCGCCGAGGTCTCCACCTTCGCCCGCTGCCCAGTCCTCTCAGCACCCGACCACCACGGACCCCTCTGGGCCCAACAGGAGGCACTGCCCACGTCATCGCTTCGGGCTGAGGAGGCCTTGGGGAAGACCTAGGACACGCTGGAGGGACTATGTCTCTCAGCTGGCCTGGGAACGCCTTGGGGTCCCCCCGGACGAGCTGGAGGAAGTGTGTGTGGATAGGGAAGTGTGGGCGTCTCTGCTTAGACTGCTGCCCCCGTGACCCGGCAACGGATAAAGCAGAAGAAAATGGATGGATGGATGGGTTAGAGGGGCTAATAGCACGTACTGGTTGCCTCACTCCTGTCTGTGTGCCCCGGGGCAGTTGTGGCTACATTAGTAGTTTATCACAAGTATGTATGGCTTTAATGTGTAATGCCACAAGTGTCCATAAAAGTGCTATATAACACTGTTGCATCACTACTATTGTTATTATTTGTATTATTATAGTTCCTTAATCTCAAAACTTTCGCTAGTTATCAAATGCATACCAATACCTTTATGTCGGTACAAACAACATGTAGTATTTATGCCAGATTTACCTCTTCACATTCACGGTCTATGGTCTATATGTAAAAATGGCAGATTAAACTTGAGCAATTTTACTTGTGAATAAGTCTCAGAACTTTTCCCACACTGTAATAACCACATTCTGCTGAGCCGCTCACTTCTGCTGTTCCACTTCTAATGCCCATTTTGCTCGACTAATACTCCATCTGAATCATTTGCAACACAACAGCCCTTCTTTTGTTGTTCCTGCAGTGGCTTGCAGACAGGTTGTAGTCATTCTAATCTTGTCTTCTGCATCAGATCTTTCAATTATAGAGCAATATGTCAGGAGCATTAGGCGACCGCCCTACAGCACTTGAGACCCTCTTTCTGATGTGATTTCATTGGAGGTAAATTGAGTAACGTTGACTTGACATGAAGACGAATGCAGGTATCGTCATGTTGTTGTCGTTCAGGAGCCTCTTTGAGCAGGTAAAATGTCGCTCTAGATAGTCGTCCCAAAACATGAGCGATTCGACAATAATCAATGATAATCAATTCAAAAACATTTGCATTATTGTGTTGGAAAAAAGTTTATGATATTTCAATGTAGATGTTCTATTTTTTACATATGCAAACCATAGTTCAGTGGTTAAGAGCTCGTGGTTCGGTTCCACTTCCTGACCTGGACTTTCTGTATGGAGTTTGCATGTTCTCCCCGTGTCTGCAAAGGTATCCTCCAGGAGCTCTGGTTTCCACCGGCTGCTCCGGCTATCACTAAAATCCTGTTCACTAGATCTGGCAACCCCACTCACATCACTGTGTGGCGTGAAAGAAAAGACAATAGTAAAAGCTCTTTGTGACTACAGGTATTTGTCTGTGAAAGGCACTATTTGATTAAAGATACTTTGTTAGAATATTGTGAAACTTTAATGAACACAAAATACTTCCTTATATGCAGTGCTTGTGATATGTCTTAAGAGAACAGTTGTAGTAACAGTTGGTGATTGACATGGGAAAAGTATGTTTCTGCAGTCGCTATTAGCCCAGTCCATCAGGAATTAATACAGGAACAGTAAGTAAGTAGTAAGTAATCTTTATTTATATACCGCCTTTTCACTGCACATCGGAGTCTCAAAGTGGTTTACAATTGTTATTTTTGGGAGTGGGGGTGCCAGTACAGGAGGCACATGCCAGACCTACTGTATTGTACATATTTGTAGGAGAAACCGGAGCACCCAGAGGAAACCTACACAGACACGGGGAGAACATGCAAACTCCACTCAGAAAGGCCCTGGAACCCTGAACCCAGGACCTTCTTGCTGAGAGGCGAGAGTGCAATCGACTCAGCCAGATATTATTTAGAATTTTTAGTGGAACCTCTTAACAAATATTTGTTTGATTTTGTTTTTTTTTAGCTTGAGACCACTTTTATTTCTCTCATGGATCGGCAAATTCTGTCTTGCAGAATATTGCTCTATTTTTAACCCTCCACCCTCCACCCAAGTTTAAACCCAGTGAGAGCCACTCAGCTGTGTGAATGCAACCAAATAGCAGTGGGATAATATTGACTTACTCTTCACTTAATATTGACTTACTCTTCACTTCACACATCATTATTGAATATCTCACCTTTAAAATAAACTTGATAAAGAGGAACATTTATCAAAAAGCTGCCCTCAACATTCAGTATAACAAAAAGAAAAGAGCTGGTACATAACTGAATGACCACAAAAAGCCAGTACTTAACCAGTGTGTGAACTCTGTAAATGTAAACTCCCCAATATTTAACAAATCCGATAATATCCGATCCTTACAAAATACCCATATCGGCCCCCGATACCGATACTGAATATCGGATGGGTACATCCCTTCTCTTTACTGCAAAAAGTGTTGAAAAATAAGTCTAAAATTGCTAAACATTTGCCAAATGTATTACTTTGAGCCTATTTTGAATGCCTTAAAACAAGATTTCCCAATGGGACAAGCAAAATGATCTTGTTTTTAAAAAGTAACAACAAAGTATCCCTTGAAATGAGAAAATAAAGCAATCAGTCAGAACTCGATTGGAGCAATTACAACCTCATTTTTTGTCCTTGTTTGCAGTGTTGGTGGTAGTCTATGTGCAAAAATAGCTGCACCATACTTTAAAAATACCCAAAACTGGAAAAGGTTCCTACTGTGCAAAAATACCTATGATTATCTATTTAACAATTATCTGCCCACCTGTTCCAGTATCACTGGATGTCGCTGCTTTGATCACTGTAGTACAGGCTGCATCTTGACATGTTGTGGCTTACAGTTGCAGATGGACCAGCTGGACTGTGGCGCGGCCCACCTGCAGCACCCTCTGGCCCTGCGCAGGTCCCTGAGAGCCGCCCCCCTGCTGGAGGCCTCCTCTCTCTCCTCCGTCAGTGTGGACCACGTGCACGATCACACCGTGGTCTTCCTGGGAACCAGCAGCGGTCGTCTGCGCAAGGTGAGCTCCAAAAACTATGCACCACCTCAGGTCACAATCTAATAGCAACATGTAATTATCGCCAATGAATAGAGGTAATTTTTTTAATGGGATTTTGCCCCTGAGCTGGGAAAATCTACAGAGTTATGGAGTTACAGAGGGCGGCTTTGATGTGGCAGACAGGACGACGAGTTTGTGCGTTGCCGGGTCACCTACGAACAGAAGTGGGAAGTTTCATTAACAAAAACTTTTAGGGTGTGTTTGTGTTACATCATACTTTTAACACATTTCGTTCACTGATGTAAGATGGGTGAAAAAACCCACAACAATCTCTATTTTTATATAATTTTTCAAAATGCAGCATAGAACAACTGTATTGTCTAATGATTTACAGTCAGTATTAGTGCTTTCATGCTAATTATGAAGGGTTTTTATATTCATTTAGAACAAGTAACCAACATGTACAGATGATGCTGGTTTGCAAACATCAAAACAGACAATTCAATTAACATAAAAGCATGAATAAATAACAGAAAAGCATCAAAATGTATCCTTTAAGCCTGGAGATATTTATTTGTCTACTATGCTCTTATCCTGACTAACGACTGCAGGCTTGTAATTTTTGACTGCGAGTACTGAAGCTATTGGGTGACAGTGGCTATTTCAACCAGTCAAAAAATGCTCCATTAAAAATAATAAAATGAACTAATTTGCTAGACACATTTGTAGGGCCACAAATTGTCCCGTTTACCTGCACTGTTCCAATCTCCAACTATTTCCACATTAGGACTGGACATGACCATTAGGCCTCTCTTAAACTGTATATACAGTAGAGTCATATATATAACCAGTGTTGAGCAAAACTAGGGCAGATTTAGCTTGAAAGGGACAAAATTAGAAACCCAAGTATTGACAGAAGTCTCTCAGATAAAGCCAAAGACGGAATGAGCCTTTTTTGTTTTGATCGTATTCATGGTATGTTATAAATGTGCTCTTTTTACAACTTCAACATCACATTTGTGCTTATAAGCTGACATTCCCTTCCAAACTGTTAAATCACTTGGCAATTTTTCCAGAAATGACAGATAAGGGATTTTTTTCTCTCATGGTTAGTGATTGTTGAAGCCATTTTGTTTCAAGGATAGTCTTCTTTAACCATTCAAACCTGTTTGTTGTGTGCGGTGCAAGCTAGTGCCCGTTAGCATTTTGATATGAAAGAGTAAACCCAGTTGTTAGATAAATAATTTTAACTCACGAGCGTAACTGTAATTCTCCCTCATTCAGACATGGCCTCGTTTTTTTAAGTTTGATAATCAGTCTCCTCTACGTTTTAGATCCATAGAGCAATCTCATACATGTCGAGCATTGCTTTGTCTTGTTACCTTCTGAAGGGAATGATAAATGAGGCAGAGGTCCGGGATCACGTCTCTGAAGACATTTATTGATGGTTCAAACACGACAAACAAATGAGTTAACAGAGCGTTCGCAGGCAAAAGTTTCCTTATAACGTCTTGTCATATTGTAGACTTCAGGCTTGTCAAACTGACCTCCAAAAGCTAGTTTGAAAAGCACTCAGGTTCTTATAATACATGGCTGTAGTTAATGAATGTTTTGATAATGGATTAGTTTTGCTTATTACACTGATTTGTCAAGTAGTTCTTGAGTGGCTCTGATTATGTGATTTTTGTTTTTATATTATTGACCCAAAAATTGACAACATCTTCATTGAGGCGAGTTGAAACAAAATTGGACTTTGATAGAAAAATCCATTGTTTACATATTTCATTCTGCAGCAGGTTTTACTTATAAAATGGTAACTATACAATTAAGTATTGAAAAAGGCAACTATAGTCTATTTCAATACTTGGTTCATTGATTAAACTTGGAGTACTTAACGTTTTTTGTTGCATGAATATATACATATTTTTTTATTAATACTGTTTAAGTAACATTTGGTGAACACATCAGTCTTTAGCTTATTAGATACTGAGAGCTGATCTTTCGCATACTTCTAAGAAACAAACCCTGAGACTCGTTATTTGACTGTTGTGGCAGAGAGCTGATTGGCAGGGCTGGTCCTCTCTATTTCACTGAAAAAGCTGATCTAAATATGTGATAGAAATACACACGTGAAAAATTAGTGATAAAACCGCTGATAGATAGATAAATAGATAGATACTTTATTGATCCCGTAGGAGAAATTCAGATGCCGATAGAGCAGCAGTTTTGAGAGTTAGGACTATTTACATGGCTTTTATCACACACATTTCTTTTTGTGGTTTCAAAGTGACATACTCCAGCCTTCGCTTATGACATCTTTAATATAGCAGCCTAAACACACTTATAAATACTTAACTCTAAAATTAGCCTTTTCCTCACACACACACACACATTTTGCTCAGGCTGAAATACATGCACATACAATCGTCACACTGTCACTTCCAGGCAGCTCTTTGTCTGTCCTTCAGCAGACCATGAAGACCCCACTGCTCCATTAAGTCGCTCTAATCACATGCTCTGATGTTCATGAGACCTGCGTATTGTCTGCGATCACCACAAAGCTGCTTAACAGGATGGCTGCTCGGCAAATGAGTCAGGCCCTTGCTTTGTGTTGTGTCTGATTTTCTTCCAGCACTCTGAAGCAAACCCTAAAAACATCTGCACGGGGTTTTTCGACTAGCGTCTAATTAGCAACATGTCTTAATTCTGTCTCACACATTCCTGGTCACCCCTCACTGACTGGGCTCCCTCACAGTCTGCAGGAAACAACAGCCCCCAGGAGCTCTCTCTGCCTCATTGTCTGGCATTAGACATGTACTATAGTGTTAGAGGGTTGCAAAAACAGTTCACTCATGTGTGTCTTGGCCATAGAGCAGTATATTAGGAGTGGACTGACAGAGGCTAATGTTCACATGGCGTTAATGAGGAAGAAGCTGATTTGAGCAAACACGAGCTGGAGCCTGTATCCTTATATGGGCATTTGTTCCACAGCATTAGCTTCGCAGGGCAGATGTGTTGCTAGGATGGTTGCTAAGGCAAGCTTGAGTATATACAGTTGTGGCCATACCTGCATGCGAAAACCAGATCCTGTCAGACCTCTGAAGCTAAGAAGGGCAGGGCCTGGTTAATACTGTGATGGGAGACCTCTGGGAACACAGGTAGTGATCGTAGAAGCAGATGGCACATACTGGTTGCTTCATTTATGTCTGTGTGCCCCAGGGCAGCTGTGGCTACAGTAATAGTTTACTAGAGTGAATAGTTTATGGAGTGAAAGAATAATGACATGAGAAGGGTCTTTGAGTGTCCTGAAAATTGCGATATAAAACTAATGCATTATTATCCTTATTATTATCTGATTGGTCAAACCTTTTAACTGGATTTCCGAAAATCAATAAGTGGCTCAGTTGGTAGAGCATTGATCCTCCCACGATCCATGTCACCTGCTCCCATTGATAGCAGGTGACATGGATCTTTGTGTCCTTGGACAAGAAAGACACTTAACCCCACTTTGCCTGAAGCCCCTGCTGAAAGATCAAGGCTGTGTCATTGATGAAGGAGCAGTCATCTTCCTGTGGACCACCAGCAGGAGGATCAATGAGGGGCTGGTGCTGAGCTTTGGGAGGCAGCTTTGATTGCCGCCCCCCTGACCCAGAAATTGTATAATAAAGGGGAAGAAAATGACATGACAATATCAAAGTATAAAAACCTGGATCACAGAGAGATTTTATTAAACAGGCAGGTTCTAATGTAATAGATCCTAATGTAAAAGTAGATTAGGATTAATGCGTGTAGACAAAGGACATAATAGAAAGCCTGTATGTTTCGCGTTAGGACTGGAAACTTTTCATTTGTGTTTAATTCGTGTTTAGTGACCACTATATTTAAAGCTGGGTTACTTAACTTTCAAACCACAACACATTTAATAATGCAATGAAATCCATCTATTTGTTGTTCCTCACTCTACAAACTGTTTTGTATTTGGCCTCTGTCACATCACATCGGACCACGCTCACTCTCAGTCCAAAGCGTCAAAAAGCTATTCACAGGGCTATTTCTTACAAATATGCAAAAAATAAAAACATTTCTTTTAAGATGAAGACAGCATGTTTTGATTTGATAAATTCACAATATATATGTTTACAAGAGTCTTATATTCATGAAACGTAGGTACACCAACTTAAATCTTGTTTTGTTCAGCACTTGGAGTTGCCTTGTGTATGAATTGTGCTATACAACTAAACTTGCCTTGTCTTAACGTGCTGTCAGAAATCTCAATGAGGAACATAGTCGTTTTCAATTCTTCAAATTTCCCAGTCACTTCCTACTGTGCTCTCCCAGATTCATCGACTGTGTATAATAGGGATGGACAGAGCTAACCCGCTAGCTTGCTAATAGGAAGTGCTCATGGGCGAAATGTGGCTCCAACTGCCTTTGGCTCCAATTCACAAATGGCTCTCACTCTGTAACTAATTTTGTCAGACTCCCCGTCCTGGGCTTAAAACATTTGGGTTTGAATGCACTAAATGATGTGTTTGTAAATCAAGATATGACCAACAATAACCAGCCAAATTAGGTGCCTTCAAATTCTGCCTCGACTGAAGAATAGCATCGGGGGACTCGGCTTGCTCCTGATTTGCTTGTGTTGTTATGGAGTTGCTATGAGAGTTCCAAATTTCTGCCCATGGAGCTTGTCAGAGCAGCTCAAATTGGATTCTTTCTGTAAAAGCCAAACACTGTGGGTGATGTCAGGTTAGTCCTCTCTACACAGAAATTACCAGCCGTCCTCCTGTATTTAGTTAATTAGCCTAATGTGCAAGGTGTGTGTGTGTGTGCGTTTGTGTTTTAGAATGTGTTGTAGAATGAGTGAGATGGGTTGGAGCCGAACAAGCATTTGCTTCTTCCAACCTCTTCTGTTTCTGTTTTTTTCTTTTAAATTGTTTTGCAAGTTGCAAGACATATACATTTAAAAAAGTAACTAGTACTTTACTACTTTAAATGATTCATTATTATTCATTATGTAT